AAAAGGCATATTAATCCTCAGTTTGATGAAATAAAAGTAAGAAAAGTAAAATTCTAGATTTGATACGTATTTGATAAACCGTTGGAGCAGGTTTTAAAGCTATTTTTCACCAAATTCAAATTTAATGATAGTTTTGAGTAACCATTGGAGATGGTTTTACCAAGCCAAAAAAAGATATTATGGGTTTTCTTTGATGGATCCCTAACAATTTTATCACATGTTTTAAGATTCACAATTTTCTTGACCGAGACGAAGTGATCCATTTAACCGTGTATCTAGGACATTTCCATGGACGTTGCCAACAAAAAGCTCGAATCTGGCCACATTTTCATTGTGTCAAATTATTGTATTCTTGTCTAAATAACCATAACTTGGCTATTTCATAGCACAAAAACATAACCCATTAATTTAAATTTGAAGCCTTGTACTCATTGCATTTTCAAACACGAAATTAAAGAACTACCAAAATTAAAGAATTACCAAAAAAAGAGGGGGGGGGGGTTGTATTTTAATATAAAAAACGAGAAAAACAACCAAAACCACTCGAAAATTGTAATAATTTCTTTATCTGTCCAAACCAGACAATTGATAATTGACAGAGAAGTCATTTTCTTGGTTTGAAAAAAAAAAAAAAAAAACTTAAAAAGAAAAAATCTGCAAATGAAATCTAATAGTAATTGATTCCAGACCAGACACTAAACTCAAAGTATCTAATAATTCTTTTTCAACATTCAAAAGCTCAATGCATCTCAATTGTGAATTGCAAAAAAATAAGACAAACTCCATTTTGGTTTAGCTCCACCGTTTCAATCCAATTCAATACCTTCGCTTTCTTGAACATCCCATCAAACCTTTAAAATGAGTGTCAATTCACTTGTGGGGGATCCATTGATCTTGATCAGAAAAGACAGAGAAACACTGATGCTATAAAAATGCTATAAATAGAGAGAGTAGAGCGCATTCAACATATTATAAAAGTTTTCTTTTCTTAAGTTGGGTGTGCTATATAAGCACACTTCTTATCTTTTAATTTTTTTTGATTACTTCACCATTCTATTTTTTTGTACATCTTTTTATAAAAAGTCAACTTTTTTGTACATCTTTTCATAAAAAGTCAAAAAAGTACACTTATTTATATCATCCCAAACAAAATGTCTACTTCTTTTTTATTTTAAAAAAGTCACATCAGCAAGTTTTTTTTATTACATATAAAATTCTACACAAATTTAATTTCAATTATAATAACAAATTTTATATGGACTGTATTATTTTTCATTGTTTATTTAGTTTTGTCGTTGTCAAATTTCTTTATATAGTTGATATTTTAATTTAATTATTATGATATTTAAAAAGAAAATTAATTCGATATACAAATAAATAAATAAAACAGAATGCACTTAATTATGTGTATCGCACACATATTAAATTAATTTTCTCTTATATTTTTAATTTTTTTGTCTATCTTATTGATGTATTAATATTAATTTATATTTAATTTTTTATTTAACATGAAATTATTTATTACAAGGTCTGTTTGGCAACCATTCCGTTTTCAGTTTATATTTAAAAAATTGTCATAAAAACTTGTTTGATAATTTTTTTGGTTTATAAATGGTTGTCCCAGTTTATAAATTTGAGGAAAAAACGTAAACTCAAAAAATGAGTTTACGTTTTCAGTTTTCAATTTTTTTTTTCAAATAATTTTTTTTCAATTTTTTTTAATAATTTATTTTCAAATATTTTTTTTTCAATTATTTTTTTTCAAATAACTTTTCTTTTCAATTAATTTTTTTTTTCAAATATATTATTTTCAATTTTTTTTCCAAATAATTTTTTTTCAATTATTTTTTTCAATTAATTATTTTTTTCAAATAATTATTTTTTTTCAATTATAATGTGTATGATCCCATTGTCATAAATAATAAAAATAAATATAAATATTTTAGATCTGAACAAACATATTTTTTAGTTTATGTTTTTAAATTTTTTTAAACATTTTGTTCAAACTAAACGCGTTTGCAATTTATGTTTTTCTAAAAATAAACAAAAAACAATTTATAAAATTTTTGTAAACATAAACAAAAAAATGTAAACGTTACCAAACGCTAAATATTTATATTTAATTTAAATTTCATATATGTATATATAGTGGTGTTTTGAGAAGTTGGTAAAAAGTTAATTTTTTGACTTTTTGTGACTTTTTGTGTTAAAAAAAAAAACTAGCTTTTTTGTATAAAAAAAATTAAAAAGCCAAAAAACTAGCTTTTTTAGAATGTTCCCAAAACGCCCCACAATATGTATGAATAATTCAAAAAGAATATTAAAGAAAAAATCAATACTCTACCTAATTAATTTATGTATTTTATTCTTAATCCAATTACAACATATTTATATTTAACATTTTAAATAAATTTTTCGGTGTTTTGAGAAGTTGGGAAAAAAGTTGATTTTTTGGCTTTTTTAGCTTATTTTGTCTTTTTGTGGGTAAGTTATGTGAGAGGTGATGTGATCTAAAATGGGTAAAAAAATTGAAAACTAACTTTTTATCAGCTTCCCAACAAACTGTGTAGTTATATTTCTACATATTTTTATTTTCTAAATAAATATAAAAATAAAATTTAAATTAAATAATTAGAATCACATTTAGTTTTGGAAAAACTATTGATACATACCTCTCCAACTTTGGGTAGTGGGAGAGCTCCAATATATTTTTTTTTTATTAGCTAAGTTCCATCGATGAAATTTTTCTATAAAAATTGAAATTTCTCTATGAGGGGGTCAAAGTTTTTTGTGTTGAATTTTCTCTGTGTAAATGTTGAGGGATCCTAACTACTATGAAAAATATTGTATATCCTTTGTCTTATAAAATCTTAATATTGGTGACCTTAAAAAAATTCCGTTTAGTTTTATATTACTAATTCTCTTTCTAATTTAACTATTATTTCTAATATCAAAATGAGTGTTTATTTTACTATCTTATAATTTAATATATATCATATAAAATTATTATATGATAATTACACTTTTATAACACAATAGAGCTAAAATTATCAAAATAAATAAATAATGTAAGTAAATTTAAATGTGTGTAAATGCCCCTAAATTTATTATATATAAGTATTCAAGTAACACTTTTATAGAATATAAGACTAAGATTATTAAAATAAATCATTTAAATTTAAATTTTATTTTAAATTAAAATTAATATTATTCTTTTGTAACTCATATCATAATATAAAATATCATTACATTAATTAAAGTTAATTTCATTGTGATTTTATGTCAGACATAATACTTTTAGAAATAATTTACATAACGTGTAGCGTCCAATTTGATATTGATTGATTGATGAAAAATTAAAATAATTGAACTCAATACTTTTTTTGTTAAGTTTTTAAAAAATAAATTGGCAAATGTCAAATGACAAATAGTGTTGAGTATTATTTTATAAAATAATGATTCATAAAAAATGATTGTGTATATTTAAGGCACTTATTGATTTTTCTTGAATAATTTTTAAATAAAAAATTTAAATTTATAGTATTACTGATAATGCAACTTCATGAGCTCTGCCAAGAAAGATATGCAAAAATAATTTGGCTAGAATAAAAATTTTAGAGTTATTATGATGTGTCACATAATTAATCAGAACCCCTTTGAGAACTAAAATCATTAAGATTATAGAGATTTTGTATTTGATTCCCTTTGAAGATTCTGTTTATGATATGAATTTGTAATTTTTTATGCATCAATGTGACTAACTCTTACAATCTTACTAATATAAGTATAAATCCTACCTTTGAGTCAACCTACCTCAAATACTTTTTCGTGTAATAAAATACTTAAATATTGTCATATAAAAATATTATTATAGATCGCAATCAAATACAACTTGAAACATAATTAAAGACCTGATACACCACTTTAGACATAACTAAAAATATAACAAATTAGCAAAGACATTTTCGATTAATAACCAAAATAATACCCCATGAATTATAACCAAGTCATAATTTGTATATTATAGAATTTTCTGTTGTTTTTATTTATTTATTTTGAGAAAAAATATTTTGATGCAAGGGGAATTTATGATTTTTGGTAAATTTGATTAACAAATAAGGATTTGATTTTAGGTTGAGAATAAATCTTTTTTTTTTTTTTTAAATTTTGAAAGAATTTGTTTTTATGAACCTCTTTTACATAAGATTAGACACAGAGATAAAAAATTTCATCAGTCATTAGCAAATCTGTTTGTATTTGGCATTCAGTTGATAAAATTTTTTACACAAAGTATTAAAACTCAAAATTAATTTTCTATTTTAAAAATAAATTCCGTTAATTATATCAAATCAGATTTTGGCACATCTGTTGGCCATAATATGATTGTATACTCACATAATCTTAATCTGGAAAATGCAGAAAACACGCATACAAGCACGTAAAATTGCTTGAAGATTTTCTTACATATACAGTGTGATAATTGTTTTTGCATCAGTTCTATTGAAGAGTTTGACATCATGGCTCTGCAAGTAGCAGCCTCTCATCCCTCACCATGGTCAGTCTAGCTACTGTTGCCGCGTGAAAAATTCACTTAAGGATTGAAGTTGGCACTTAAGTATTGATTATGATTGATGATTATTAGAGCAATTTTTAAAGTGGTCAGATTTATTGTCTAAATTTGGATTTCGTTCACATGGACGGTGAGTTTGTTAAGAATTGAGTAAAATTAGATGCAGTTCACTCTGACAGCTATCAACAGATGAGTAGACGAAGACGATCATGCTTCCATCGGGCTTCTGTTATGCTACAATGGCCCAAATACCCACCATGCCGACAGAAGTAAGATTGATACATAGCATACAAATAAACCAAACCAGCAAGTTAAACTTACATCAATGTTGCAAAAGTGATCACTTTGGACACCAATCAGATAGATTTCAAGCACACCATTGATGATTATGACTGACTGATTTACTTCAGTGTAACAGAACAAAACAACATAGTCGAATAGTAATAATTATTTCCAAGAAGAAAATACTTCTATTTGAAATATGAAGACTTTGGAGGCAGCCTCATATAAAATCATACTTGTGAAGTACTGCAAATTTGTGTTGCTATAACCCAATACAAAGTTGTCAGATTAATTGTGAGATTACAAATAATTTTGGCACTGCTTATGTTCGCAAGCCAACGAATAATCATTTGAATTGCCTAATATACTCTCGGCTAACAGAATCTCTGAAAACCAAATTGACGGAGCCAGAATGACCGCTGCTTGTTCCTTCCAGCTCCCATGGACTTCATTCTGATTGTCTTAATGCCTCCACAAATTTGTCCTTGAGAAGTGGATTTGAAGCTGCGACTCGCTGAGCCATGATATCAAATTCTTTACCAGAACTGGTGCAAAACAAGCATGACATAGTAAGAAACTCCTTTATGCAAATTCTGTTCTATTTTCCAGATAAAGAAAATGCGTAATATACTTTGTATGGTCTACTATAGTGCAAAAATCAGTCTGTCAACAAAGGAAAATGATCCCTAAATGCCTACATATCAAAATGCTGAGTATGATTACGTGGACACATCATGAACATTAAAAAATATGTACATCGTGCAATATTTTGACAAAAGAAAATGTTATTATTTAGGAAAGTGCTTGAAATTCAATAGGATTTAAGAGAAATGGGATTCCTATGCCCTATTGATGTGAGTGTCTAGAAAATTTTCATAACAAAAGAAAATGTAGGTTTCTTCTTCAAATATCGTTAAAAAATAGGGGATCCAATTTTCCAATTTTGGTAACCTTGCCTAAATCATATCTTATGGACACAAATTACAGTGACACTCAAAATATATGCAAGTTGATTTCTTCCTTAAGATAAAGCTAAGGTATGTGACAAATGTGAGTTTCTTCTTCAACTATCGGTAAAAAAGAACAGGACCTATTCTCTCAATTACTTCCAACACCAGCAATGCTAAGTTGGGGAGAGCAAAGAAAAGAAGGGAACATAAACAAAAATTGAAGAGCACATAATCAAAAGTATTTCTTACGGATCAAAAATAACTCCTCCAGCTTCTGTCACAATCACAGCCCCACCTGCCACGTCCCTACAACAAGAGCAAAGATTGCCAATCATTTTATTTTATTTTTTAAGATCAGCAACAAAGGCATTTTAATAAAGAAAAAGAAAGGAGGTACAGAGGAGGACAAGGAGTCCTCAAAGATCACACTTAGTACGTTTAGAAAAAAATGACAAAACAAACAAATAGAAGAGACTATGTGGCGCGCACACAGCCATCCAATCCCTAGAGATCAGAAAAGGTGGAATCCCTCTAAGTGGGGGGGCCACCAAGGCCCAAAAGGATGCCAAGCCACAGGCTTTCTCCAACAAAGAATCCAGATCCCCGAATTTGTCTTCAAAAATCCTTGCATTTCTTTCGAACTAGATGACCCAAAAGATTGAATACACCGCACACATCCACAACACTTTTGCCCTCTTCTTGCCACCAAAACCCCAGAAATCAATTAAGAGTATTTGAAAACTTGTACACGGAGCCACCCACAAAACCTCCACCAAACAAAAAAGTCTATGCCACAACCTCAACACCACAGGACAATGCAAGAAAAAGTGATTCAACTATTCCTCACGTGCACATTAAGCCCCACTACGGGCAAGGAGCAATCGGGTCTTCTCTTTTGCACCACATAAAAATCTTCACGTCTAGAAGCACAAAAGATTTCCTTGTAGGGGGATAAAAAATGCACACCTTGAGTTACCAATGATTTGTCAAAAAAGGACTTGCAAGTAAAGTCACCCGAAAAGTGGATGGACCAGACCCTTTTATCACTCATATTTGGATTCAAAGAAAAATGATCAATGCGGGACAGCAAAGAGGTCAACTCACAAGTTTCTCAATCATTAAGGTTTCTAAAAAAATTGAAATTTCAAGAAATCGGTGCTACCAAAAAAAAGCCATAGAAGAGATGGAGGAATTATGAGAAATATGGCGTATCACTTTAGAAAAAGATGGAAACCATACCAAGGGCCACCGAACCCAAGTTCATAGAATAGGTCGATCCTTCCACATGCAACACCACAGAGGTCCAATGCACAAGAGCCACACATCCGAAGCGATCTCACCTGATCACATAAGAAAGTCATACCATTAATTCTGCTTGTTGACAATAAATTTTTCCTGAAGTTCAGTAACTTAACCAGCAAATTCTGGTCTTACCTTGAAAAGTAAACCATTAATTCTATTTGTAGTGGCATCCAGAGTTAACTTATCACGTTGTGTTCCAGCCTGCTCTCTCAATCAGATAAAAACATATTTAGTTCCTTACACGAAATAATAATCATGTAGTTCACATATCGGCCCCTTAAAAGGATGCAAAGTATTTATGACAATTTTGTAACATTGGAAATATGTTATACATTTTGAATGCATGTACTAGGCGTTTCTCATATGCACGAAGTGGGTCAGATAAACCAAACTAAAACAAACCCAACCAAACTAAGTCTTGTGTCTCAATCAAGTGGGGTCGGCTACATGAATCTTTTTTGTCATTCAGCTCCGCCAATGGCTATATGCTTAGTAAAATTAAATAAATCACAAAGTCAATAAGATATGATGTAAAAAGGTCCATGTGGCCTAGATACAATCGTAGGACATACTATTGCAGGGAATGCCCTATCCATAAGTGCTTGGGTGTACATTTAATGCATCTTCACTCATAAACATGGGAAGCCTCGTTGACTATAACAAAATAATTTCTTTATATAGCTGAAACTACACCTTTGTAGCTTAAAGGAAACATTTGAAAAACTTTGATGCATATGATCGAGGAAGTGAAGTTAACTAGCCAGAATCGGAAACCAGCAACCATTCCAACTCATTTTCATGCATGATAAGCTTCAAAAGTTGAATCATTAGACAAAATTTGCACGTGCTACTTGCATATATCTGGATGTTCCGAGTGTCCAATTCACTTTTGACTGTAGCAACTAATGTAACAGACAATTTGGTTACCTATCAAGTTAGTTTGTATCAATTTTGGTTTGGTTTGGTTTGGTTAGGTTAGTTTGTATCCTACAGTAATTACATTGCACTATTAGTGTAAACAGTTTCCATGCACATACACCTCAGTGACAAGGAGGGACTTCACAAGTTCGGACTGAGAAGACACTGCAGAATTTCAAAGAATAGGATATTGGTAGAGATCTACCAAAGAAAAGCCATACTATTTTTTGGTTCATGGGGAAAGAACCCAAAATAACAGTCAGACTCAAAGATGAAAACAACAAACTCACCTTTTATGGGGTTTCCATTCAGAAAAGCACCTTTTCGATGGACACCAGTGAAAAGCTGCACAATACAAAGACAAACCCAAAATCCTTACTTCACTCAACCAGTAATAGTTATCAAAACACAATTTGTTATTTAGACAAATCAACATATAGCTCATAAGAATCTCTATCCTGAGCAGATCAATATGGCTATACCAAATTAATCATCCGATCATAGGTTTCATGAATTCCATAATATTTATAAGGATGCTCCCAACATAATAAAGGTGGAAGGAAGTTGTAACCAATACACTTCTTGGGGTACATAGGATCACACTCAACACATAGGGGACCACCCAGGCAATGTATAAAACAAGTTAAACTAATAGTCCCATCCATACTCGCTAATACTTTGTTCACATGAATAATTCCATGCCCATATGAGTAGGTTGTAAAGGTTGACCATCAAATAATGTATAGTTGGAGTACCAAAATATATATATATATATATACGAACAAAAAAAAGTACAAAAATTCAGACTTCTCACCTCATCCATAATTGGGTTGTAGACAACACCAACTGTGGGGACCTTTCCAATTGTTAAACCAATAGAAACACACACAAAGGGGAACCTACAAGTTATTGTGCAGCGGCAACAAAATCAGTTAGGCTGAATGTATAAATAAAGAATAAATTCCCTACAAACTTGACATCAGAATTTAATAATTACCCATGCACAAAGTTAGTTGTTCCATCAAGTGGATCAATTATCCATGTCGGTTCATCAGTTAGCTCTGTAACACCACGAGCAGCAGTGGTTTCTTCCCCAATGAACTAACATAAAACAAAAAAATTTAAGAAACAATGAGAAACATGTCTGTGAAGTACCAAGCACTACCAGTGTACCACACTAAGCACCAATCATGAAATTTGATCAAGTCATCCAAAGTTATCTAGATGAAATAAGGGTTAACCTTATGCTGAGGGAAATGCTTCTTGAGATGATTGAATATGAGATCTTCACATGCCTTATCAGTTTCAGTGACCAAATCCACCTGCATTGGAAACAAAGATCATGGTAAACTTCTTCATTCACATTAAGAAATGATCAAACATAGCTTTGGGTTCCATATCTTTATAAATTTGTGAAATTTTGTATACTTCTCAATTCTATTGTTGATTTTCTACGATCATATCCGCATTTGACCATTTTACCATTTTACCATATCCGCATATTTTTTGTTCTTGATACGCAATATGTCCACAAATATATGATGTATATATATGCCTAGATTATATTTGTGTAGTGATAGGCCGGAAATTCTTTAGGGTGATTCCAACTATTTTATAAAAAAAAATTTATTCAAAAAGTTTGAACCCCCTCTAATTTTTTTATTTGCATTTGGAGGGCTTGCATTAAATTTTAATGTGTCTCACAACCAAAAAGAATTCAAGGGAGTCACTTTGTTTTGGGGTTGGGATAGAAGGTTCAATAATTGAGAGTTTTAAGGATACCCACCAGAAAATCTAATCCAATCCATAAGGCTGTACTGGAAGAAAACACAACACTTTTGTTACATGACCAACCATTAGGAGAAAGGCTTCATTCATTTTTATTTTCTTCCATTAGGATTTTATTCTCTTAAATAGTCATTTACAGTCCATCTTCTCCTTTCCCCCAACCAGCACAGCAACACTACCGCTACCAAATTCTCATAGTTTGGCACTCTCAAGTCTCAACTTCAAACATTTCCTAATCAGCTTTATTAGAATTTTAAACTCAATTAACCATCGTTTTGCATCATAACTAAAGGTTGCCCATATTTGTTTCAAGCACAACAGATATTAGAAAAAAAAAATGAGTTGCCATAAAGCATATTCCATAATTTACGGCACTTCTTCAAGGAATCTTATTTCACACAACTGCATATATTTTACGCCATTCCCATCACATTCACTCTCCATGTAAATAAAATCCAAGGCAATAAAATTGATCACTGAAAATTTCTCTAATCATACATACATGTTCTAATCTAACTAATCTCCACAACATTGGCTTTCGGGTCACTCAATCCATCTCCTAAATTATAAAAAGGTTCTTCCTCTAAATTTCATTTCATTACCATATCAAAAAAACCCAGAACATATATATATATATATATATAATTTGATATAAATACATCTACACACAAATATAGATAAGGAAGTGAATAGACCTCGCCCTTGTGCTCCACATGCTTAGTTTGATAAAACCCTTTACGAATTACCTGTAAAACACAGATTCAGAGAGAGAAAATAAGTTTAAATGAGGGCAAAATTGAACAAATCGATGAAGAAAACAGAGTATTAAAAAATTGGGTCTTGAATTTGATTTACATCTCCAGCAATCTTCGCTGCTTCGACAGCAATGGCAAGGAACTGTGAGTGTGAATCTGAAATCAGTGGAATTACATCAGACAACAAATTGATTAAAAAACAGAGAACTATTACCTACATATATACAAACAAGAACATGCAAATACTTTTTTTTTTTATTCAAAACAAGAACATGCATATACACAACTTATATACATGTATAGAAACACAGAGAGGTGAGATTAATGGGTCCTACTATTTTCCGCCATTTTTTCAAAGAATTGTTTGATGAGAAGAGAGAGTATGAGAGAGAGAATATAATTTGTTCATCAGCTTTGTGGCACAGGAAAGAACAAGAGAGACGCCACAAATTTATACTGTGTTTGGCAAAATGGAGAAGGCTGATTCTACTTATGCCGCTACTTTACCTCTTTACACTTTTTCATATTATTTTTTTTTTTTCTAATTTTATTCACATGTGAACTTACTTTTAAGAATAAAATATTAAAATTAAATATATTTTGTTATCTTCTTACACCCCTTTTAGTCTTCAATTCCTATTCCTCTTTTCCTTTCTTAATTTTTCTTTTCTTTTCTTTTCTCTTACACATCTTCTTTCTAAAAGTGAGAATCATAGTATTTTGATCATTAAATAAAGCAATGGATGAAGAAACGGTGGTGAAAAATCATCAAAAAAGTGAAATTGCAAGTTTTTTTTAATTTATTTGGTAGGTTTTTGTTTCGTTTTTCTGCATTAGTGTTCGAATTTCGTTCAGTGGTTCGAAATCGAACAAAATAAAATAGTTCGACATCATATTGCCAAATAAAAAATATAAGTCCGGTAACCAACTACCAAATAAAAGATACATTTCCGGTAATCCCAAACCGAATTTTTTTAATTTGTTCGACTTCTCATTACCATATATTTTCAGTTTCATTTTTTTATATTTTTTATTTTTTTGCCTGGAAGGATTATACTTATACTCATTGCAACAACGCAAATACTACAATATTAGTGGACTCTAGTCATGAATTCATTATAGATGAGGTTTGTTAAATTTTTTTATGAGTATGATTTTTTGTTACTTTTAATTTGTATTGAGTTTTATTAATAATTTGACATAAAAATGTATTTATTATCTTTAGATTTTTAATAGTCGTGAAGCATTAATTAAATGGGTTTCTGATGTTGGAAAAAATACTGGATTTGTCGTTGTTATAAAGACATCAGATGCGAGAGATAATGGCAGAAAATTAAGACTTACACTTGCTTGTGAAAAAAGTGGCTATTATAGAGACAACAGGAAGATCAATGGGGAACGATTGAGGTTGACATGTTCTAAAAAGTGTGGATGTCTATTTCTAATAAGGGGAAAAAATTACCTACAAATTATCAAAACGAATTGTGATAACTTGTTTGATTGATGGATGCAAATAATAATAGATTTTATGGATATTCATATACTTGATGCTTTTATGAATAATTTTATAGATATTTTTTATGTATGATTTTATGGATGCGTGTTTGATTTATGAATTTGTTTTTATGGATGCTTCAAGGAAAAAGTAAATATTTCAATGTACAGCAACGGTGGCCTAGGCAACTCTATTGTAGTTTGGCAACATGACACTAGAGTAATCTCATTTGTATAACAATATATCATTGAACAGACACTTCACAAGTGGCCCAAATGAATTTCTTGTTATCATCTAATTGGACGACAACATAATACTGGGAAAAAAATGATTGTCCGGTAACATGGCACTGGAGTAATTCAAATTAATTAGCATTGTATTACCGAGCAGGCCCACCACAAATTAAAAAATCATTTTTTGAAAGAAAGTGGCTCTGTAAATGTATAGTAACAAAATGTTGGAGAAATTTTATTTTTCCCGCAACAAAACACCGGAATAATGTAAATTATTTAACACTGTGTTACCAAAATTAGTGGTATAAATAGATGAAATAGTTAAATTAGGGTTAGTTTTGGTAATATATTGAAGGTGTAATGAGAATTATATTTTTTTTTAGTGGTGTAATGAGATGGACAGTGTAAAGATGTTAAATAGTGGTGTAAGTAGAATCACCCAATAGAAAAAGCAGGGAAAAGGGAGCAGAGTATCATCGACAGTCTTTTGGATGAATGTGCCCCTAGATTTACAAGGAATCACAAATGCTGACATTTTAGATGAGAATATCCTATCATATATGGATTTGCCCCCTCTCTAGCATTATTCAATTAAGCTATTGTTGTGCACTTTTTTATTTTATTTTATTGGTTGTCTGGCCGATCATCCGGCAACAAAATGATAACGCGATCGATAAGGGTGACAATTGCGATCGACAGGGGTGACAATGCAGTAGATAAGTATTGCACCAGTCGTCCAGATGGTCATTCAATCGGTTGACTAACATGCACAAATGTGGCCTCTCCCTCGCCTTTAAATCCTTGGTTGCCACGTATTCTAATCGTATGAAGAGTGTTGGAGAGTGCTGGAGAGAAAACGCAAGAGAGGGAGTAGATCCATAGTGTTTTTTTCTCCTCATTTAGGTGACACATTCTAAAGATTTTTTTCCCCCCTCTAAAAAAGTCACCTTAACATGTCTTTTCCATTTACATTTAAAATTTTACATAAATTCAATTTCAATTATAATAATTAATTTTATATAGATTTTATTTGAGAAATATTTATTTTTCATATATTTTTGTATCATGTATTTAGTTTTGTCGTCAACAAATTTATTTTATATAATTGATATTTTAATTTAATTATTATCATATTTGAAAAAAAAATTATCTCGATATACAAATAAAAAAATAAATAAAAGAAAAAAAATTAAAGTTTGACTTTAATTATTTTGATATCTACTATCATTACTATCTATATCTATATCTATAATTTTAAATTTTAAAATTACTTATATGGAAAGTCAAAAAATAAATTTTAGCCATATCTTTCATCAAAATCTAAGTCATATCTAATTTGAAACTAAAAACTTTTAAAATAATATTTCAATTGTAATTTTATCCATATATAATTTGAAAATGTGAACTTTTTTGTATTTTTAAAATGAAATAAAATATACATATGGTGTGAAACACATGTGAAATTATTTTTAATTATATATTAAAAAATTAATTTTATTTTATATTTTATTTTATTTTATTTTTTGTCTATTCTATTGATGTCTTAATATTAATTTATATTTAATTTTTTATTTAATACGAAATTTTTTATTACAAAATATTTATATTTAATTTACATTTTATATACCTACATACAATATGTATGAATAATTCAAAAATAATATTAAAGAAAAAAAAAATCAATACTCCACATATTTAATTTATGTATTTTTTCTTAATCCAATCACAACATATTTATATGTGATCTTTTAAATAAATTTTGTATAGTTCTATTTCTACATATTTTTATTTTATAAATAAAAATAAAAAATAAAAAATAAAAAATAAAGAATAAAATTAAATAATTAGAATCACTTTTAATTTTATGTTACTAATTCTCTTTTTAATTTAACTATTATTTTTAATATCAAAATGAGTGTTTATTTTATTATCATATAATTTAATATATATCATATAAAATCATTACATGATAATTACACTTTTATAGCACAATAAAACTAAAATTATCAAAATAAATAAATAATGTAATTAAATTTATTATATATAAGTATTCAAGTAATACTTTTATAGAACGATAGGACTAAGTTCATTAAAATAAATAATTAAAATTAAAATTTATTTTAAATTAAAATTAATATTATTCTTTTGTAACACATATCATAGTATGAAATATCATTACTTTAATTAAAGCTAATTCCGTTTTTATTTTATGTCAAACATTATATTTCTAGAAGTGATTTACATACGCATATAGCGTTCAATTCAATATTAATTGATTAAATTAATGGAACTCAATACCTTTTTTTTTTATTAAGTTTTTAGAAGATAAATTGACAAATGTCAAATGATAAATAGTGTGGAGTATTATTAAAGAATAATGATTCATCGAAAATGATTATGTATATTTAAGGCATCTATTGATGTTTATTGAATAAGCTTTAAATAAAAATTTTGAATTTATAGTATTATTGATAATGTACATTTATGAGTTCTGTTAGAAAAGATATACAAAAATAATTTGGCTGGAATAAAAATTTACGATTATTACGATATATCATATAATTAATCAGAACTCCTTTGAGAACTGAAATTATTAAGATTATAAAGATTTTGTGTCTGATTCTCTTTGAGGATATTATTTATGATTTGAATTTATAATTTTTTATGCATCAATGTAAATAACTTTTACGATCTTACTGATATAAGTATAAATCCTACCTTTGAGTCAACTCACATTAAACACTTTTTCGTGTAATAAAATACTTAAATATTGTCATATAAAAATATTATAATAGATTATAATCAAACACCACTTGAAGCATAATTAAAGACCTGATGCACCACTTTAGACATAACAAAAAAATAAGAAACTAGCAAAGACCTTTTCGATTAATAACCAAAATAATACACCATGAGTTTTAACCAAGTCATAATTTGTATATTATAGAATTTTCTGATATTTTTTTTTCAAAAAAAAAAACATATTTTGATACAAGTGAAATTCATGATTATTGGTAAATTTGATTAACACAAACAAAGATTTGATTTCAGATTGAGAATACATCATTCTTTTTTTTAAAAAAAAATTGAAAAAATTATTTTGATGTGCCTATTTTACATAGAATCACACACAGTGAAAAAAAATTCATCAGCCATTAGCAAATTTGTTTGTATTTGACTTTTAATTGTTAAAATTTTCTACACAAAGTATTAACACTCAAAATTAATTTTTCACTTTAAAAATAAATTCTCGTACATCGCACGAGTCATTTAGGCCTTGTTTGACATCTAACTGTTTTAGCCTAAAAGTCAAAAAATCACTAAAAATTTCAAAAAGCCTACCATTTTATTCTACAAATCTATCTACAATTTGAAATCATGTGTGTCTAATAAAAGCCTACCATCCTATCATTTTAGCCTAAAACTCTAATAGTACTAATGAGAATTCTTTCATAATAAAAACAGAAATGCGCGAGACCCCCAGTAAAAGTCACCCCCAGTGACCCCCAGTGCCACGTGGCACTGCGGGATTGGAAGGAAAGAAAAAAAAAAAAACAAAAAATTGGCCAATGGGGGAAGCCCACGTCACTGGGGGTCGACCCCCAGTGGGGGTGTGTAGCAAGGTTGTAATAAAAAAATGGTCAAGTCCAACAATGCATCTTTATGTTTTCCCAATAACCCACTGAATCACATAGCCAAACAGCAGGTTGTCGCGTCAGGGAGTGACGGAATCAGGAAACTAAATTAGAAGGGGCATTTCTTGATTACAACTTTATTTTTTTTTTTCCCC